GTCCCTTCCAACCCCAATATTCTGTGATTCTGTGACTGCTGACGGGCTCAGCCGTGGCCAGTGGTGGGGTCATCCTTGGAGCCAGCCAGCATTGGCTCTGTCACACCCAGGGGAAGCTTTGAGCAGCTTCTTGCAGAAGCCGCCCCCACTAACCCCCGCTACCAAAATCCAGCCAAGCAAACCCAATACCCTCATAAAGTCACAGAGTGCAATAAAAGGCAGAAGAGCGCTGCCACTTCGAGTTTTGTGTTGGTTTATTTGTCTTTTGGGCTTGTATTAAGACGACAGCGAGTATGTAAACTCGACTGGGAGGACAGCAAACTGTTTCCTGGAACGCTTTGGTGAGGTGGATGAGTGTTCTGTTTAAAGAGAACCTTCTCCCTGCGGAATTTGAATGATTAATTACAATATAGGTGCTATTTCTAGTGGAGGAAAGCTGTGGGAATTTGTTTGTGGCTTTTTTTTTTTTATTCTATGATAATAATTGCAGTAACAAAACCCATTTGTCAAAGTGTTTGGGTTTTTTTCTCTCGTTGCAGTACTGAATGTTGTATCTTGTTTTAATTACTCTCACAAATGTCCTGAAGCAGTGATATAAAGGAAAACATGCAGATTCTCATTTTAATGCTGCATCTGGTTTTATAGAGGTTTGTGTTCCCGCTAATTTGCACAATGGTGCTGGAGGCTTAGAGGGCTTCAAGTGTTCTTCTAAATATTTGCACAAAGGTGAAAACCTGGAGGTAGACTGCCCATAAATTTGGTATTAATAGTAGCACGTTCATCTTAAACACTCATTAGTGTTAGTACTTTAAATTGTTTTCTAAAAGCCAACCTGCTTTAAATAAATGTTTCTGGGTATTTTTCTGACAAAAAAATGACCTTTGCTTCAGCATTTTGTGTCTCAGGAACTAGTTTAAATGGAGACTTCCATGCGGAAAGTTAATATTTCTAGCCAGGTAGCTTACTTAGTTGTTTTTGATAGTGAATAGAATAGGAACAAAGGAAATGATATAATTTAGAATTACATTTTCTTTAGGACTAGGGAGCCTAGTAAGAAGCGGTTTTTACCCAGAGCCACTTAAGAGTCTGCATCTGTCCATGACTGGAAGCGAAAGGTTTTCCTCCCATTTGCAAGGAAATTAAAATGTAAAAGCTGTTTTTAATCACATGTGAGGCCAATTCAGAGCTTTCCACCTCCACTTGGACCGGTTTTGGTTTGTTTTTTTGTTGTTTTAAATGTAAGAATAAAAAACCTTTAGAGATGATGGAGGGGGAAGAGAAGAATGAAGAGAGAGCTGCGCTGTGCTTTTTTGTGCATCACCTGGGAAGCACTTCACTGGGCATGGGGAGACCATTAAGAGCTGAGAGGATGTTTTCAACTGCTTCCTCCGTTATCAAGTCGGTGGCCTTGTCCGTTTTAATACCCAGGTGAGGCGCTATAAGGACGTTCTTTAATTTTAACAACGCGTGGTCTCTGGGGGAAAGAGGGAAAAAAAGAGATAGTTAGGTTGCCTCCTGTTGTTTGTCTCAGTAAAGAGGAGTCCTGCTTTGGCTTTTGCCCTCTGCTTAACTATAAACTTAATTTATTATAACTTTACAAGCCCCACTTACATCCGCAGAACCCAGTCACTTGGTTCAGGTAACTCTGGAGATTGAAATAACACGTTAAGAGTTTGCACTGTGCTCTTTTGTCCAGAAACAGGCTTTTGCAACAATTTGAACTATGTCAGAAGAGAGGACTAAGCCCCCCTGAGATGTTAAGCCAACACCACGGCCTGAGTTATAGTTAGGGGGGCTCAGGTAATGAATGGGGGTGTCCTGCCACACAGATATTACGAGACCAAACTCCCTCCAACCCAAAATGCAGCCGGCACAGGTAACTCCCTGAGGCACCGTTCTGTTGGATGTGTCCTTCGGGAAGCCAAGTAGCCTCTGGGCCCCAGAGATCTGCAGGACTTCAGCCTCCCCTTGGGGAAAGGAGCCTGTCCCGGTCCCAGAAGGGACGAGTTCCACCCACTCACTTGGCCCTTCAGACAAACTGCTGTGCGAATGCTGCAGCTTCATATGGTGACTCTGAGGTGTTCCCTCTTATCAGACCCAACATCTGGGCTGCAGCCCATTCCTACCCATGGCCCTTTCACACAACCCTCCATCGCCCCAGGGGTGCCTCTGCCAGCGCTGCAGGGACCTTCCTGCCTGCCCAGGGCTCACCCATCCCTTCGGAGTAAGAAGCTGGCATCCTGGGCAGTGGTTCGGGGTAGGTGACGTCCAAAGCTGCCGCCCTGCTAACACCAGCCCGCAGAGCTGCCGCCAGCGCCTCTTGGTCAACCACGGCACCAGGAAGGGAAGGGAAGGGCAGCGAAGGGAAGGGAAGGGCGAGGGCTTTTCACCATGGCTCATCTGTCCTGGGTGCAAGCACTGGCTGTGCAGTGGGACACAGTGCGGTGCCGCGCAGGACACAGTGGGACCTGGCTCGTGCTTTCTCCTCAGGGCCGGCCACGGCTCTGGAGGGTACCTCGACTGATGTTGATGAGGGTAGCTGTGGGTTTCATCAGCTCCAGCTCCCTCTTCCCAGTGAGCTTGTGTGTCTGAGGGGTCAGGTTCACCACCACCATCACGAAATCCTCCTGCCGGAGCAAGTCATCCACCCTCTCGCAGTGAGCAGTGCCCACAGCGTGCTCCTCTTGCTCCTTCCTGGCAGGGAAGAAAAGGATCGCTCCGTACGTAGTTCAGGGCATCAGGCCTGAAAATATTTTCTTCAGCGATGTCACTGGCATACAAACTAAAAAAGAGTAGTTGCCATTTCTCCTGCTCTTCATCAATTTAGCTGCCTGAACTTTGGGAACTAAAGAAGCAATGATAGGACAATCTTCTGCTCCGGTGTGAGAGAAGACTTTGCATTATCTCCTCCCTAAGCTAGCGATAAAGAAGTCACACTAAGAAAATAACTTCAGTGTAACTTTGGACCGTGTGTCTCCTAAGACGTGTGTTTTGTTGGGGTTTTTTCAGTGTACAGGACAACAGAGATTAAGCAGATAAACAATAGACTGGACCCACAACTAGTTTTGCATCCTGCTTCAGCACATAAGCTTGAAGTGTAAAATAAGCCATTTTTTCATTTCTGTCGCTCTGTGCATTATTATTCAACCTTACATAAATACCACTTTAAAGACTGAAAAATACTAAATGGAGGGAGCTAGTGATGATCTGTGGGAGGGGGAAGTATTTGTGCCTTATTTTCTCTTTTTTAAGTGTTTAATCATCGAGTAATTCGTTACAAGACTAATCTGAGGCAACCATTCTTTTTTTTTCCCCTTCAGTTTTCATCTTGGCCTTATTCCCTCATTTCCTCCTCCATCCCTGGCGTAATTCCCTGAAAAAGAAATACTATCTAACAGAGAGTTTCTGCTGTACTTGAGGTCAAGACCCTTAATTATCTTTACCTCTGTGTCCTGTTGTGGTACAAAATGTTCATTGCAAAGGCTTTGGCTCTCAGGGCGATTTCGTACCCAGTGCTGCCCATGCTGATGATCCCCAGAGCAGCTCCAGTTACTTGAACTCCCAGAAAATTGGCTTCACAGTGCTCCAGACCAGAAGAAATTGCCATGTGATGCCCTGTGACAGAGAGACTCTGCCATGAGAAATGAATGAGGTCCGACAGAGAGGAACGAGGCAAAAGAGCCTGGGCTGGTTGTGCTACTTTAGCGCGCTTTTTAACACTTGCAAACACACAATTTTTAAATGGCAGTGTGGTTTTTTTGTAGTGCCCTAGGTGGCTTGCTAACGGATCTTCTTTCCCTGCCATGTTTACGTGATGTTCCCGTTCATGCTGACCGTACTATAAAATGCCTTTTGATGTAATCTGCCCTAAAAATCCTTTTACTGCTTCAGCCTCATAAAAATATTGCCCTGTTCTGCATGGACAATCAAAATAATTCGTGCCTAACGCTGCAGGGTTTGGAAATGACCAACACCAGACGTTGGGTTTGGTGTTTAGGCTCAGAACAGGTTTCCTGTTCACCTCTGCCACTCTCCTTGGAAAGAAAAGTGCGACTTCTTTAAAAATCGCTACTGGGCAATTCACATAATTATCTGTTAAATCTGCAGAAAAATTTGGAGAGATTTAAAGCGGGGAAAATACACTTATTAGTCTGCTAGAAAGGTGACAGGCTTCTGATAGCTCAGTCTTCTGCTATTTTGTTCCAAAACATCAGCAGAATACTGTGAAAGTGAAAAAATGCTTCAGCATAAAGCCAGGCCATGCCATGCCAGAAATGCCACCACGGAGGGTTTATGTAGACAGGAACAAGAAATTAATCTCCCTTTTAATCGATCTCTTCCGTGTGAGATGGAAACGGATTTAGGGGGAGATAAGTCTCCTTTGAGTTTTGAGTTTGTATGAAATGTCATGTTTTCATACGCAGGAGGCACGGTGCAGGGTCTTGTTCATCTGAAATTGTTACATTAAATCTACAGCCGTATTTATTTTAAAAACTAAATTCCAGCTTCTATGACCACTTGGTCGAGAAAGCAAAAAGTTGCATTTGAATTGTATGTGATGAGATTCTGCTCTCTGTGATGTTTTCAACCCAGGGCGGTGAGCCGTGGAAAACCAAACTCACATGATTTCATTTATACCTGCTTAAAATGTGTTATGCATATTTGCATATGATAGAATTATTTAGATATGATACATAAAATATGTAAAAATAGCAATTGTTCTACCTGCCAAGCCAGCATATTTAGGTTTTTGCATTTTATGTGACACTAAGTGCAGGAGCTCTCGGTCAATGACTGGTTTGTGCCACCACAAATAGATCGCTTGGACCTTTTTACTCCTAAGCCTCCTGTTCTCGAGAAGTTCCCCCATGGTGATGAGGCAGAAATGTTTCTTCAGGAATTCCACGTGGCTGTGAAGGATCCCCTGTAAGCCACCGATTTCATTTACCAAAAGCCCAGGTAGCTCTTCTCCCCCCATAACCTGCGCAAAGAAAGGCACAAAGTCTCAGAAGGAAGACGTGTAATTATTTCCAGGCGTTTTAAAGAATAATCACTTTCGCGTCCTATTTCATGGCATCTACGATGAGGTCTCTTACGTCTCATGATTTATTTCTCATTAATTACTTACTTTCAGACCATTCAATGAATCGCTTTCCCTCCCTTGAAAACACATATTGCCACGTCTCTGCAGTTTAGACCAAACCCAGCTCGGGAAAACAAATGGCACGGCTTCATCGTGAACTTTGAGTTACCAGGTTAATTTTTAAATGCCTCCTTGCAGAGATTTTTGCAGCCTCCTGTCCTGAAAGGACACCAGTGCCTTCTCCTGAGGCTGTCATAAGTTAACAGAGTAATACAGGATTTTATGGAGGTGACAAACATTTTGCTGAATTTTCTGACTTCGTTGCTTGCTCATAGGAAAGAGAATGTAAGAAAAAGCTTGGCCCCGGGCTACAATTTAGGGGCGATCACTAATTGTGCTGTGGGCTGTGCCCTCACCCATGTGATGTCAGCGGTAGATCTACCCTTGTTTCTTGGCCACTCAAGGAAAGAAGCATCATTTTTGCCTGCGTGGAGGAACTAAATCTCTTGGGATTTACTTTGGTTTTCAGAGGATCCCCTCAGGAAAATCAGAGACACTTTCCCAACGATCGGATTTGCTTCGCTTTAGAATCACAGAACTGCTCAGGCTGGAAAAGGCAACTTTAAGATCATCGAGTCCAACCGTTAAGCCACCAACACCAGGCTGACCACTAACCCGTGTCCCTGAGCACCACATCCGCAGGGCTTTTAAACCCCTCCAGGGGTGGGGACTCCACCACTGCCCTGGGCAGCCTGTGCCAGCGCTTGACAACCCTTCCCCTGAAGAAAATATTCCTGATACCCAATGTAAACCCCCTCCGGTGCAACTTGAGGCTGTTTCTTCTTGTCCCGTTACTCAGGAGACTGACCCTACCTTGCTACAACCTCCTGCCATGGGGTTGTAGAGGAAGCAAAGCTCTTACCTAGGAAAACCTTAGGCCTATGATAATTTCAAATGAGTTTGCTTTCCTCAGTGTTTTGATACAAAAACAGAATGTTGCAATATTGGCTGAAAAGTGTGTCAGGACACAGTCAGATTTCTGCTAGGAATTAACGCTCAATCCACCTTTAACATGTTTGAGAGTGTTACACAAACTGCACGGTGTACTTAGAGTTTTGTAGCAGCGTGTACTGGGAAGAGAACACAGGTAATTTATTGAAGTAATGGACTGAAGATATCAAAGTGCTTAACTCCTCAGTTTAAAATCTTGAAACAAAGCCCTTTTATTCACTTCTCTTTATTTTTCAGAATTGGTAGTAACCGTAGAGATCCAGTCTAGCGAGATGATAGCTTTGCAGCATCACGACAAAAAGCAGCAGTGCAGGAACAGGTTGCTTTTCTTTTTCTTTTTTTCCCCAGTTTAGAAGTGGTAAGCAGCAGCGCTTTCCCATACGTGTGAGATCCAGTGCTGTCACCCGGCACACGTCATTTGGGGAACACTTCACTTGGCACAGGCTGGCCATTAAGAACAGCCAGAATATTTGCTATTGCTTCTTCTGCCATCATACGGAGGGCTTGGACTGTGGCGGTTCCAATGTGAGGAGTGATGATGATGTTATTTAATTTTAATAAAGGATGATCTCTGCGAGAAACAGAAAGAACAATGTGTTACGCCGGGAATTTGCTCTGCAGCTCTCCCACGCTAGTTGTTAACAACTGAACCTCAGGAAAGAGCAAGAGTCGTTTCTTTTTTCCTCTCTCTTGAACTCGTTCAGTTATGTTGGCAAAAAACCCCAACGTATGCGGGAAAGGCAAATAATTTGTCGTTGATTTATGCCTGTGCTGAGGTTTTGCCCTTCAACTGTGGCAGACTCCCGACAGGGACTGAGGTTATGAGCAGGTTTTTGCCCGCAGATCAGAACGTTTCAGATTAACAGAATGGGTAACGGCTTTCTTTACCTTGGCAGAGGCTCAGGGTATGTCACGTCCAGAGCAGCAGCCCTGATGACCTTCTTCTGCAGAGCTTCTACCAGCGCGTCTTGATCAACGACTGCGCCTGCATCGAAAGGAAATCTTGCAGTCGTGACGGGTCAAGGAACCTGGGAGAGGTAAAAGGTCTCGAGGGTCTAGTGTGGAAAAATCACAGGATCTTCATCTCACTAGAAAGCAGAATGTCCTCCTACCAACCATTAACCAAACATAAATTTTACTTATTAATCTTTAATTGGAGGAGGATTATGGTCCACTGCAGAAGGCTTTTCCTGGGATGTGACCGGTTTCAATCTTTTCCTCATTCTGACACTGCCCTCCTATATTAATATAGACAAATAACTTAATCTCATCAAGCTTTCTACTCTTTTATCTCCGCTTTATTTACTGAAACTACAATCTCTCTCATATGCTTGTTGGGTGCCAGCAGATCTCCAGTGGCATGTGAGGCGCCTTTTCTACAGAGCTGTTCCAAACGGAACTTAGGTCCTTCCTTGTACCCGCTTCAGCGCTGCTGCTGAGAAACCTTTCTGTTCGTTCCATAGGCAAAAAAAGCATCTGTCTTTAGAATAAGGCTAACGAGAGCAGAGCAGCAACCCGAAATTCCAAAGGACGTCTGAACACACAGCATCTGAGAAGCCATTCATCCGTCAACTGCCAGTTCCTTCGGGATTCAGACAAGGGATATTGCAGGTGGAGGGTGGAACGTCAACAGAATCAGACAAAACCCAACCTTAACTGTAGGCCCCAAACAGGGCTTTTTGGTGGTCCTACCTCGGCTGATGTTTATAAGAGTAGCTGTGGGTTTCATCAGCCCCAGCTCCTTCTTCCCAATGAGTTTGTGAGTCTCAGGAGTCAGGTTCACGACCAACATGACAAAGTCAGATTGCTGCAGCAGGTCTTCCATCTTCTCGCAGTAGCGGGCGCCGACTGCCTCTTCCTCCTCTTTTCTTCTGAAGGAAAAATGCACAAACGCCCCCAAATTGCCACAACTATTTCTAACTGGCTTTAACAATCGATCAACCCTAGGAGATATCTAGGAAAGAGCACACAGATCCAGAGGTTTGAGGGCAAGGTCAAGGAGAAGACATGGAAAAAGCGATGTACGTGTGAAAGCAAGCATATGGGGAAATGAAGTCCAAAAGAAAGGGAACTACACAACCAAGAGATATTAAGGCCCTTGTCATTAGTGCCTGTGTGATGAGTGATCCGGCCGGGCCGAGGAGGCGGGGGACTGCCTGGGTGGGCCAGGGATGCTGCCTGAGGAAGTTTCTGCCGCTGCCCCACCGACCTAACCACGTGCAGAACTCGGATGCTTTTACCTCCGGTTCCTGTTATGGTACAGGATCCTCATGTTGAAGGCTCGGGCTCTCTGAGCCACCTTGTACCCAATGCTGCCCATCCCGATGATCCCGAGCGTCGCTCCGGTCACTTCCACTCCGAGCCAGTCGACAGCAAAATGCTTCGTGTCTGGAGAAACCGCAATCTGGCTGCCTGAAGGTAAGCACACGCTAAATGGGCACAAACCGACCACAAATGTAGGTTTGGGGGAAATAAAGTTTCTCCCATCGCACCAGCTCCTCAGGGAATGAACCCTTCTGTGGCTGCAGTGTTTTCTTGGAAGATCAAAAATAGCTTCTTTGACACTTACCACCCTGCAGACATTGACCAGTCTTTAAAGACACGCACTACTGCTGGTGGCACAGTTTGGAATAACCTTATCGAAAGGATTATTGGCTATGTCAGTAATAATGCTGATGCTCTTCTGGAAATACAACCCATTGGTTTAGACAAACTCTTCACAGAAGCAGGAAAAAAATATGGAGAGTTACACTAATTACTGCTCTAGGAATGGGGACGTGGCCATTAACGCTTTGGACCTTCCTGTAGGTCCTAACATGTGCTCCAAGGGGAGACAGAGAGGTGGTGACATTTGATTTGGATGCATTTTCTATAGTTAGAAACAACTCACTCAGTGAAAACTGAGTCCTCCAAATTTTTTTTCCCACATTTCGATTCAGACATCGGTGTAATAGTAAAAGTGAGACACGCCAAAGCAGCAGCCGAGATCAATGAAAATTTATAACATTACCTTCTACTATTCTTCTGGCAGAGGCCAGCATCAAGGCCGTTCCTATGTCTGCTGTTGGGTCCGCCACGGCCCGTGGCGTGTTGGTCACTTTTACGCCAAAGTTGGAAATCATTTTCAAATCTAAGTGATCGACTCCAACCCCAGAGTTTCCAATTACTTTCAAATTGGGCAGGCTTTCTAGAAGTTCCCTGTCAATAGTTGGCCTGCACTCAAACACGAAAACAGATTGGATTTTTTTGCCCATTTCCTTCTTGTTTTCAAGAAACTCCTTCATGGTGATGATGTGAAAGTGTCTCTTCAGAAGGGCTGCAAGGTTTTCTAGCACGCCGTGAGTTCCTCCTACATCCAGAATCAAAACGCCCGGCAACTCTTTCTCTGCCATGACCTGCAAGAAAGGAATAGGAAAAATACTGCTTGGTTTTGGAGAACACCCTTAAAGGAGTGATGCTGTAGGGATCATTTAAATTCACATCTGTAAAACAGGACACGGAGGGAACTCAATATTGCTTTCAACAATACAGAATAAATCCACAGCCAGGTGGTACTAACACGGTGCATCAGACAACTTCCCGGCGGTTTTACTCAGTTTAAACCATAACAGCAAGGAATATCCACCCCTTCAGACATAAGTCCAGTTCTTCTCACACAGCTCCACTTTAGTCCTGAATCAATATTGATTTCCTATAAATCTGGTAGATTCTCAACCTTACTCACAAATTCATTTCTATATTCACTAATTCTACTTCTACTCATTCAAATTGTATTTCAAAAACAGAAGCTGCAAGAAAGTTACTCCAAGTTTCACACTTAACGGTTACGGGTCATCGAAGCTGCAGGTAGCGCAGGGAGGCACCGAGGCTCAGATGGGTCTGACACAAGTGGTTTAGGTCTAACAAATATGCATGACAAAGGGGCATCCTGGCTGCTACACTGCTTGCCTTCGGTGTATTTAAGCATCCAGATCTGTACTCAAACTTAGCACACCCATGCCTATATGCTGAACCAGGAGGGAGGAGCGCTAGTGGTGAGCCTTTAAGTGCCACTGGCAACATAGTCCTTCCTGCTAGAATTCTTCCCCTGTCCAGACAGTTTTGAGCCCAGTCTTGTCAGCAATGCGCCTGGGAATGTATTTATTGTCCCCCACAATAAGCAGGAAGGTGATCCGTGAAGAAGCCAGAGCTGGTTCGGCTTTAAACAAACCAGCTTGCTCACAGGCTCGTCGGACGTAATTAATCTTTTCATTAGTGTGGACGTGCTGAGTCTGCCACAGTTTCAGATGTGTCTCCTGCGTGCGGGACACACAAAGAGACTGCAGCTTTGGTTCAACAAGCAGGGTTCTGCTGGTACCAGGTGCACTCTTAAAAAGCTATTATTGATAGGAGTAAGCTAAAAACACTTAAAGACACCTTGCAGAGGGTGAGGGGCTCTCCAGATACCAACCTTGGTCTGAGGAGCACTCACTGTTTGTCTTCCAGCACTACCTGGGCACATCCCGTACCTCTGTCTGTTATCCACACTTCTCCTGTGACAGCGATGTCCACGAGAAGCAGCAGCTGGATGAATAAATTTATACGCCACATTTGACTGGCCAGACATCAAGGGAATCGGTTTTAACAGACTGAAAGCTTTGCTCCTGAACATAATTACTCAGATATCAGATGTCTTGTCCTGTGTGCTAAATGTAAACCTGTCAAGGATATGAAAATTTTGGGTTTGGACTAGTATCATCTGCAGTATCGCTAACTCTTTTTCTATTATTGTTTCTTTAAAGCTCTCTCTCCTCACATTCTCTATTTACATAACATTATTGCTTCCATGTGTGTACACATCTATATTCATAGGTAGTGCACTGATAAAATATATGTGTACTAAGTTCTGCTCTGTGCATTGAAGAGAAAGCTTTGAAATTATGACTTCAGATTGAGACAAGCGGGAAAATAAAAAGCATTACATTGAACTTCAGTGCTAATTGAAGCTGGCCTTACCTCTTTCGTGGAGCTTGACTCACTTATTTGCTCGCAGATTTGCTGACCGGCACTGCCGTATCGCTTGCGACAAAGCAAACCTACGCGTTTTTCCCCAGCTCTGTTTTGGATTAAAGTTAACAAATAGTTAATAGTTAATACCCAGGGTAAACTCCTCCCACTAACTTCTCCAGAAAAGAAAACAAGTTACCAAAAGAACAACCACAGACTTGACCAGGGCAGGTTTCTTCCTGACTGCGTTTCTCGCAAGGCTTTGTCTGACCAACGGGTCGGTCTCCAGTAAAACCACCGGGGAGTTCGCGAGTGTTTTCTGCCCGGGCTGGCTGCAGCCCAGCCTCAAATTAATTGGGTACAAATCACTGAATTTTGCACAAATGACTTCCCTTGGAGTTCCGCAGCGCCCAAGGCCAGGTTGGACGGGGCTTGGGGCCACCTGCTCTGGTGGGAGGTGTCCCTAGGGGTTGGAACGAGCTGATTTAAGGTCCCTTCCACGCCAAACCGTTCCGCGGTTCTCTGAAATTCACCCCGCTGTGCCAGGACTGGTCCCCGCAGCCCCGGTTCAAACCGCGGGGGATTTTTCTCAGTGTTTTTATAGCGGGAAATCCGCTTTTCTCCCTGCCTGCTGCAGGCCGGCCTTTCAAAGGTGAGTGCCTAGAACGAGTGTGGGGTGTCGAGTCACACCGGCGCCTTTCAGGAAGCAAAAAGATGGGCACGGGCCGGTCCCTCTCAAGGGTCAGCAGAGTTTCT